CCCCAAAACCCCAAAACCCCAAAACCCCAAAACCCCGAGTTATGAAATTATTTTGAAATAAATTTTATTCTAAGAAATAAAATGATTGCTTCTGCAAAAGTAGGGGTCTATAAACCCCTAGGTAATGGAAGAGATAGTTACATCACTTCTAATAATGGAGGGTTTTGAGCAAGACATCCTGTTGAGTATAAACCAAATTACACCAAGAATAATGGCCTCTTCCGTCAGAGACTTGCTAATAAATCCAATGTTACTATGTACCAGAGAGATGGAGGTGGCAGAGATAGCTATATTTTTGATACTAACGGAGGATTTTCAAATGTTACCTTCAACAATAACACGTTCTGGAGAACATTTAGAGATGGGTAAGATTTAAAAATTCTAGTAGAGGGTAATAAATTAGCAATATTTCCTTCTTTTCTAATTCTATTACCTTCAAAAATTATCGTTTAAATCAACCCTTAGGTATAGATTTTGGCCAAGCAGACACAAGAAGTGGCAAATTTTCAAAATCTTTCTATGGAAACTTAAACCATTACTCTTTGGACGAAAGCAAGATGAAAGATACCTTAACTAGAAGCAATCTAACAGGGAAACCTAATAATGAAGGCAAAAAGGAAGCCATACAAAATGCGTATTTGCCATTCAGTAGGACAAGACAGAAAAGCAGTGTTGAGGAGTTGATGAGGGTTAATCATCATAGCCTGGATACCTTGGATGATACTAAGAGAAATACTATTCATTCTGAATTATCTTATGGCAGCAGGAACAGATATGCAGCTCCAGGACTACTTAAAAATAAAAAGAATATTAGCAAAAGCCAGCAGAAAATGTATTTATCCCAAGAGCATAACCAAGGTATTTTCATCAGTAATATCCAATTTAGCTCAAAGAAGATCTCCGAAAGAAGTGTCATGTAGAAGCAAGAACTTAATGCCAACAATGAAGCTGAAGCATTTATCAAATCTCCCAAATTCTTCAATGAAGAATGGCAATATGAAAGTAAAAGATGTCATCTCTAAAGAAGTTGGCTCTAAACTTTTAAAATCAAAGGCTTTGTCAAAAATCCAGCTAAAGAAATGGAAGAACTTCCTCAAAGAAAAAAAGAGAGTGAAGAATAATTTATAGGAGTTATCAACCCTCATTCAAATTTAAGGGGTTTTGGGGTTTTGGGGTTTTGGGGGTTTGGGGTTTTGGGG